CGGGCGGGAGCCGTGCCAGGCGCAGGGTCTGCTGGCTGGGTGCTGGCAGGCTTGCACCTGGCATGGGCACCGTAGCTAGCATGTGCCCCTTTAAGGGGTCTGGATCCGGGAGGGGGGCAATAGAGTTTCCCTGGTGTTGGCCAGAGTGGCCACCAGGGAAAGCTGGGGAGGGCTAGCCTCCCACTAGTTCGAATTAAGGGGCTACACACCCCTTAATTCGAACTAGTATGTTCAAACTAGGCTTAGTCCTCGTACAATGAGGTTTACCTAGTTCGAACTAAGCGCTCCGCTAGTTCGAATTAAGTTCGAACTAGCAGAGCGCTAGTGTAGCGCCTATCAAAGTTAATTCAAACTAACGTCCGTTAGTTCGAATTAACTTTGTAGTGTAGACATACCCTAAGTTCCTTACCTGATGTTGGCTACTCTGCCCAAAACCCAACTTCTCTCATTTGCTTTCTTTGCCAGCCATTCTTTGTCTCCCCACATCCTCACAGCTCTCAGACTTAGCCTCCATCCCCTTGCCAGCTCATGGACTCAAGAGAAAAAATATCACTTTCCTGTTTGTTGCAGGGAACAATTTTAGGGTTGCTACTAATCTGGCTGCTACTAATCTGGGACTATAGGGAATTATCTGGCTTCTTTATGATTAAAATAAAAAATGACAAAAAAACTAAATTAAATATAAAAAACTGGGATAATCAAAAGATGTTATTGGAAACTAAACTACTCCACAATTCATTAGGCTCTGCCAAAAGAAAGAAAGAAAATGGTACCATTCTTACTTTATTTATACTACATAACTCTCCCCCCCCCCAAACTCTATGCTCAAAGAACTTTATTGAGGCTCTCAAAAGCTGGTAAATGTCAGAATTTAGGTTGTCTGTGAAATCTTAATTTTCAGCCCTTGTATTATGATAACGTTATTATACATCCATTTAGTTACATTATCACAGACTATTTTAATAGGCATTTTTAAATACAATTTTCTATTTTTTTAGGAAAATTTTAAAATAAATGATCTGAGGTGAAATATAACAATATCTCCCTCAGATATCATTGGTATGGGTTGAACTTTCATAGCCAAAGCACAGCTTGAGCTATGTTGGCACAGGAGATTGCTTTTATCCTAGAAGAAAAATGAACTTTTGGGAATATTTGCTAACTCTGAAGCATGGCTGATAGAACAGAGCTTGGCCTGACTCTCTTTCTCCCTTCAGCC